GGAAAAGGCACTAGTGTGGGATGAGAGCTGCTTGGTGCCTTGGAGATAGCCTCAGGAGAATTAAGAGGTAAGGGCAACTGCTCGGCTATTAAAAACAATGAATTGATGAAATTCTTTGGCAAATGGATGGAACTAGAAAATAGCATCCTGAGTGAGGTAAACCAATCACAAAAGAACACACATGGTATTACGCACTCACTGATAAGTGGATATTAGCCCAAAAGCTCGGAATACCCAAGATACAATTCACAGACCACGTGAAGCTCAAGAAGAAAAAAAGACCAAAGTGTGGGTGTTTCTGTCCTTCTTAGAAAGGGGAACAAAATACTCACGAGAGCAAATATGGAGACAAAGTGTGGAGCAGAGACTGAAGGAAAGGCCATCCAGAGACTGCCCCCACCTGGGGATCCATCTCATATACAGTCACTAAACCCAGACAATATTGTGGATGCCAAGAAGTACAAGCTGGCCAGGTGGTGGTGGCACACGCCTTTAATCCCAGCACTTGGGAGGCAGAGGCAGGCTGATTTCTGAGTTCGAGGCCAGCCTGGTCTACAGAGTGAGTTCAAGGACAGCCAGGGCTACACAGAGAAACCCTGTCTCGAAAAACCAAAAAAAAAAAAAAAAGAAGTGCAAGCTGACAGGACCCTGATACAGCGATCTCCTGAGAGGCTCTGCCAGAACCTGACATATACAGAGGCAGATGCTCTCAGCCAACCATTGGACTGAGCATGGGGTCCCCAATGGGGGAGTTAGAGAAAGGACTGAAGGAGCTGAAGGGGTTTGCAACCCCATAGTAAGAACAACAATATCAACCAACCAGATCCCCCCTGACCTGTAGAGCTTCCAGGGACTAAACTACCAACCAAGGAGTACACATGGAGGGACCCATGGTTCCAGCTGCATATGTAGCAGAGGATGGCCTCATCTAGCATCAATGGGAGGGGAGGCCCTTGGTCCTATGAAGGCTCCATGCCCCAGTGTAGGGGAATTTGAGGTCAGGGAGGCAGGAGTGGGTGGGTGGGGGAACGCATAGAAGCAGGGGAATGGGAGGTAGGGGGGGGGGGGGGGTCAGGGAAAGAAGATAACATTTGAAATGTAAAGAAAGAAAAAATCCGAGAGAGAGAGAGAGAGAGAGAGAGAGAGAGAGAGAGAGAGAGAGAGAGAGAGAGACAAACAGGCCCAAACTTGGAATCTTCTATTTATCCCATGTCTAGAAGCTTTGAACACCTTCCAGAAGGTGTAGGTCCACATACCTACTCATTGTATAGGGATTAAGTTTTCAGTTCTTGAATTTGGGAGGACACATTCTGACCACAGCATATGGATGTTGTGGGGTACAGATAAAAGGTGTCATTACTTCTGTCTTGAGAGTAAAGTATCCTTTGAGTTGGACCTTGACATCTATCTGCAGAGGTAAGTAGAGTTTGAGTTTCTAGGTTTAGGCAGGTAGGAAAAAGGGCATGGCTCATGAGATGGTTGGAACCATTCCAAGGATCTCAACACATTATGGATCTAGTAGGCTTCTATTGTTATTATTACACCGCTCTGCCTTAACTTTGTATTTACTTCCAAATCACATTTAACAACTAGGGATTACTTAGTGAGTTCACAGATGGAAATCTGTCAGTTACTCTGCATGGGCTGATAATGCACTCAATGGTATCTTAGTTTTAAACGTATTATTTTTGCAGTCCTGAGTATTGAGCTGAAAACCTTCAATATGGTCATAATAAGCACATACAGTGCCTTTGAGCTGCACCCTAAGGCTCCTGACACATTTTATGCCTGTATTGTTGAAATAGTCACATAAGCTTCGTTCAGTTCTTTCCTAACCAGCTATATCCTAATGCACCGGTAGTTTAAAATTCCATCTAAGGCTCTTCTGATCTATAAGCTACAGGTCTCACACCTTTCTCTCCTCAGGGGTAAGGGAGACCGTTTTCCCTTGTTAGTAGAATGCAATCTAACATTTTGTTTTGTTGAGACTGGGTCTATGTAGTCTTGGCTGTCCTGGAACTCTCACTATGTAGACCAGGCTGGCTTCAATCTCAGAGATCTGCCTGCCTCTCCCTCCAAGAAGTGCACCAACACTGCCCAGTGAAATCTAACATTTAATATCCTTTGCAATCCATCTTAACTTTCTATTAACTGTCTTTCAGATCAAGGAGAGATTAGGTAAAGTGTAATTACTTAATATAATTGTAATGTTAAGGTTAAAGCAGAAATGATATGGGAGGCTCTGAGTATAGTTGAATGGCCAGTCTTGAGTTGTATAGGCTATTGAAAACTATTTACCAACTTCTAAAAATATTAAAAATTATAAGGCTTCTTTAATCCTAGCACTCAGGAGGCAGAGGCTAGCTTGGTCTATGAAGTGAGTTCCAGGACTATTACAGAAAAACGGTCTAGTCCCCTCCCCCCCCCCAAAAAAAACCCCTAACTACTGCAAAATAAGGGGCTGGAGAGATGGCTCAGTAGTTAAGACCAATGGCTGCTTTTTCAGAGAACCTGAGTTCAATTCCCAGTGCACTCTGGGCAACTCACAACTGTCTCTAACTACAATCCCAGGGGATCATACACCCTAATCTGGCCTCCACAGGTACTGTAGACACATAGTGCACAAACATACATGCATGAAAAACACCTAGGCGTATAAAAAGCAGATTAATATATACATTTTAAAGGTAAAGTACCTTTCATGAGGTTAGAAGGGATTCTGCTCATATAACCTGGTTTATGTGTTAGGCATTGTAGGCAGCTTAAAAATCCTTGCCTATTACTAATGGTTTTGTGATACTTCCTTTCAAATAGTGAGGCACTAAATATTCGGTATAAAGTATACTGCAAATTACAAGCTTGGTTTTGAAGGATAAGCAGCATGGAGCAGTCCAACCCTCCCTCTTCCAATATGTGTTTTTGTGACAACAGTGCTAAGTCACAAGAAAAGATGTAGGTACTTTAAACTGGCCAAGTCTCAAGCGCTAATGTCCCATAATGTCTCAACAACTCACATAGTACCAAAATATCTAGTTTGATCTTCATAGATGAAAATCCAGTGCCTTGACAAAGGGGATTAGGAGTCCAGTAAGGGAAAGCCCACTAGATAGTACATAATTAGATCTTAGTTTGAAGAAGCCAACTCTAACATATCTAGGAAAAAAGGAGAGAAATCTGAACTATTAGGTATTGAATGAAATATTTGGGATTTACCATAAATTTTGTCAGGCAATGATACATACTTAAATAGAATTGTGTTTTAAGTGTCAGCTGATATGTGTAGATATCAAAGTAAAATATGTTTGTAACTTATTTCAGACACTGAAAGTATGAAAACATTATTGGAACTGGGCAGTGGTTCTGGATGTTTGGTAGTGTAGACATTAGCCCCATTGAGAAGGGATTCTTAAAACCTTAGTTGTGAAGCTATATACTTTATATGATCATATTAGCATGACCTGGATTTTAGAGGGGATACATTCAAACTATTGACGTTTACACGTTTTTTGCTGGTGTATGTGAAGCTTGTTAAGTAGTAAATGGTGGAGAAACACTGAAAGCATTCCATGGCACAGCGTCTAGGGGTACTCTTGGATACCATAATGGTTAATTTTGTAGACTTGGCTAGCCTTTATCGTGACTGTGATGGCTAGTTGTCAACTTGACTATATAGGGAATGAACTACAATCCAGAAATGAAGGTTACACCTGTTATCTGGTTCTTGAGGCAAGAAGACAACGTGCCTTTGATCCAGGTCTTGAGTTGGGAAGACACCTTTAATCTGGGGCCACACCTTCTGCTAGAAGTCTAAATCAGGGCAATGGACAAAGGAAGCTTTTGTTCTTTGCTGCTTGCCTGGCTTTGCTATTGCATCCACTCTTTCACTGGCATTAGAGCCTACTTAACTTCTTTAGATTCCCACATGACACTGAAGACCAGCTGAGACACCCAGCCTTGTTGGACCTAGTAACTACTAGATTCTTGGACTTTCCATTCACATACAGCCATTGTTGGATTAGGTAGACTGTAGACTGTTAAATCATTCCAATGAACTCTATTTACCTGTGTGTGTGTGTGTGTGTGTGTGTGTGTGTGTGTGTGTGTGTGTGTACAGAGACGGGGGAGAGAGATTCATTCTGTAAGCTCTGTGACTCTAGAGAACCCTAATATTTGGTAACAGATTATTTTGGGTGTCCTCAAGATTTGGAGGTTTCATATCAGTGAAATATCAGTCATGCTAACATGTTTTTGCTAACATGTTTTATCCAACTGGGCTAAAGGCCTGAGTAGAGAAAATCCAGCCTCCTCCAACCCAAAGAGATTTCCCCAGCAAACTACCAAGTAAAGTGAACCATCAACTCTTGTCTCCACCTAGCTGCTTCACACTGTAGATCTTGGACATGTGGTACTCTATGTGAGGCCATCCTTAGAGCAAATTTGTGTAGACACATCCTATTGGTTCTGTTTCTCTGGGGAACTGATATAAAAGACCACCAAGGCTTACAATCCAGTCAAGTTCACACCTTGACAGAAGGCTTCTGGCTTACCAGGACCCACGGGCTTGAGGTTCTGTTTACAAGGCCAAAGCTACCAGCTGCAGGGCAACCCAGGAACATTTCCACCATTGAGAGGGCTATCCTTACAACATGGCTGACTCCATTATAGGGAGGGAGCACCTTGTAAGTGCCTCCTTTCTCTAAGAACTCTGTCTGTATAGGCTGTTTTCAATCCTAACAGTCCTAATGTGCTTGACTGTATCACTTCTTGTTAATTCCACTGCCAGCTTCTGGTTCCTTCTGTCATATTAACATGAACATATCTGCTTTATATTTGAAATTTCTTTTTTTTTTTTTATAAATATGGAACGCTTCACGAATTTGCGTGTCATCCTTGCACAGGGGCCATGCTAATCTTCTCTGTATCGTTCCAATTTTAGTATATGTGCTGCCGAAGCGAGCACATATTTGAAATTTCTGACTAAATATTTTGCATAAAAACAATTGTCTTTCTTTGTGTCTAATTTTTTATAGAGAATTGTCCAAGAAACTGTTAAATTACATTCCTCAAGAGAATACTGGTTAAATATTTGCACACAATGGATTTGCACTAGAATTTTCTTAGTCTATATAAAAAAAAAATATATCTTTACAAAGAAGCTTAGTCTTTTCTGGAAATCAATTCTACTAGAGATTCATAATCCGAATAGTCCTTCAGTGACTGTATCAGGTCGTCCAGAAGACAGTCTCCTTGCATGAAGCTCTCAAGGTCATGTAGTGATTTGTTTATTCTGTGATCTGTGACTCTATTCTGTGGAAAGTTGTATGTTCTTATTTTCTCTGATCTTCCTTTAGTTCCAACCTAAAACAAACAAACAAACAAACAAACAAATTGGGGGAGAGTATATGAGATGCACTTAGATCCAGGACAACTTAAATCTACAGCAATGCAAGAACCAAGTATAAACCCCTGACTCCCCAAATAACATGGGGATATGATCCAGAGAAAAGAAGATAGACTTTATAGTCAAGATGCAAGTATCTGAGTCCTGCCTGTGCCCCTTCAATGCTCTATGACTTAAAGTTAAACTTTAATTTCCAATTAGCAAAATACTGATTACATAATGACAGAGTCTGGCAAATGGCTGATATTTGAACAGTAGAAGCAGCATATTTATATATGCACTTATGTATATGGTACCTCTGGGAATAAATATCATCCTGTTGTGGAGATAAGGTGATGGGTATACATACTAAAGAAGTCATGGAAGGACTGTGTATGACATACAATCAAATACAAGACAGCAGGTGTAATCTTCAGTACTCTTGCTTCCGTAAGTTAAAAGGATTAAAAACTGAGTAGGGATTTGGTACACTTTCACGAATCTGAGAAAAATGCCTTTGACTACAGAAAACAGGATAAAGTGTATACAGGTATTTGTCCTTATAATAGATACAAACATAGTAATAAAAAAAAAAAACTACACTACCAATAAATAGTTTTGAGTTTCTTAAATTCATTTTTACCTGGATTTTTCGAGCATTGTATCTCTTAGTAGTTTCTTCCTCTAGATGCATGCTGTATAACCTTGCCCGTAACTTTTTCATAGCCAGCTCCTTGTTCTTCAGCTGAGATCTCTCTTGCTGGCATTCGGAAACAATGCCTGAATAATGTTATGAAAATTAAAGAGTTTTAATACAAAAATCTTCTTTATTATCAAGGATTATTCCTTTTCTTTCTCATCCTTTTTCTTCTTTTTTTTGTTTTTTTTCCAGATAGGGTTTCTCTGTGTAGCCTTGGCTGTCCTGGAACTCACTCTGTAGACCAGGCTGGCCTTGAACTTTTTCTTCTTTTATGAGGCAATAAAAACAAGAATCATACAGAAGACTTTAATTTGTTTGTTTGCTTGTTTGTTTGAGACTAGTTTTGTTTGTGTAACAGTCCTGGCTGGCCTGGAACTTGCTTTGTAGACCAGGCTGGTCTTGAAGTCAGAGATCTGCCTGCCTCTGCCTCTCAAAGTGCTAGGATTAAAGTCGTGCACCACCACACCTGGCAGACTTTAAATACTTTTAATACAGACTTTTTTCATAGCTTCAACTATCATAATTTTTAATAGACTTATAGAAATGAATGTATATATAGAAGCTACATATCCTATTAGAGTCAGCAGAAATAGAGTTTAGGATTTCCTTTTTGAACCTACTTTTATTTATACACCCCACTAGTCACCGCAATATTTAATGGTTTTCTGTATTTAAAGGAAATGTCCTACCTGGCCGCCTATCTTCATTACCCCTGGTTAACAGGAGCTATGGGCAATTTCAGATCCATGCATGTGGGAGTTCAGGGGAACCTGAACTGTATTTCCTAGATGTTCCTTGTCGTTCATAAGCCACTCCAGTGCTCTAGTAACACTTAAAAACACACTTGGCCTAATCATCTAGATTCAAATTCCACTGGGCTTTACAGTCTCAATGGAAAGCCGCTCCTGAAACTTTATCTAAAACCATCCATGTATCATGCTTCTGTGTAGGAAGTCCAATGCTTTTATTGCCTTCAGGGTCCTTATTACTATCTTAGCCCTACAACTAGTAACTGGTAATTTAGAACATTTTCTGATAAATAATTCAGATAAGTCTGTCACAGAGGTTTTTGGAAATAGTAAAATCCAATACGTATATATTCCATAACTCAATTGGCAGGACTCTGCTCTCTAACATGACTAACATGGAGATTCCTGTGCTTAGCCCCTCCTTCTTCCTGGCTTTGTAATTATCCTAAACAGCATTAGCTACAGAACCATGTGGTTAGTTAAGAGCCCTTAATGGTGTATTTTGGTATCTGGAGGTCTGTTTCAGTGAAAAATTAGTCAGTCCCCCAGAAATTGAGCTTGACTCAAAGTTTCCCATTGAAAAACGAGTACATACCTGTAGGAAGATGGACTATCCGAACAGCACTGTCTGTGGTGTTTACGTGCTGACCTCCAGCTCCACTCGCTCTCTTAGTATCAATTCTCAGATCTTTAGGATTAATCACCAGTTTAATCTATACATACAAAAAAAGTTGGAACTATAAAAAACAATTACACGTACCAATTGTCTTCAGGTGAGACCTACACATTGTAAATAAATGCCATACATAGAATTGACATAAAACGTAAAAGGCTTAAGGATAGACCAGAAGCAGAATATTATTTAAATTTTTTTTTTTTTAAATAAAGGCAGAATAGTACCAACACTTCCTAATCCTCAGAAGTTGAGCTTTCTGCCTCACAAACAAAATCAGGGACTGTTAAAACAGGAAATGTGGTGCTGAGCAGATCCTCTCATTGGTGAAGAGCGTGTGCACAGAGAATTTGAGTGTGGTCAACATGTCAGGTGACTCCCAGCCTCCTCTAACCTCAGCTCCAGGGCATCCTTGCCCTCTTCTGGCCTTTTTGGGCCACATGCACAAAGATGCGCAAACATAAATGTGATTCTTTTAAAAAATAAATAGATAAATAAAAAAAATGTAGAATTTTGCTGAATTCAAAGATTTTAGCAAAGGAAAGAAAAAAAAATAGCAATTTGAGTACATGAAACTGTTTTGGGGAGAGAGGGGATATTGTTTTTAAAATATTATAACCATAATTTAGAGGCAAAGACCATGAAGCCAGGTTATACATTCCACGAACACTGGAATCCAACAGGGTAATGCAGTGTCCCAGGAGAAAGCATGAGAAGCACCATGTTTAAAAATGTCTGTTCCAGGAACAACTAGAGACTGCTCTCTATGGTGTGCCGATCATCTCGCAGTAAGACAACCCCTCTCGGAGTTGCTAAAAAAGCTGGACAGAACTTAGACCACGCTCATGTCCCAGGAGCTAGCATGGGTCCTGACCTGGACTCTCCTGCACTTCCTATCTTAGCTCTTCTTTTCTCACTCAGGTTTCCCAGAGAAACTAACCCATCAACCCTACCATACACCCTCTTAAAATTATTAAGTAGAAATCCCAAATCGGGGGCTGGAGAGATGGCTCAGTGGTTAAGAGCACTGACTGCTCTTCCAGAGGTCCTGAGTTCAAATCCCAGCAACCACAACCATCTGTAATGAGATTTAATGCCCTCTTCTGGTGTGTCTGAAGACAGCTACAGTGTACTCATAAATAAAATAAATAAATCTTTAAAAAAAAAAAAAAGAGTTTAAAAAGAAATCCCAAATCGCTCATATTTTACTTTTTAAATGAATTAACTTGTCACTTTTAGCAGAAGAGAAATGAACAAAACAGGTTGTTTTCTTACATACTGAGGTCTTGCTTTGTCAGGTCTCTTTTTTTTTGAGACGGGGTTTCTCTGTGTAGCTCTGGCTGTCCTGGAACTCACTCTGTAGACCAGGCTGGCCTCGAACTCAGAAATCCACCTGCCTCTGCCTCCCAAGTGCTGGGATTAATGGCGTGCGCCACCACCGCCCTGCCTTTTTTTTTTTTTTCCAGTGTATTTCTACACAATCTAGAAACATTTTCATTCATACCATCTGTTGTAAAATTACATTTCTTGAATTAAATATTTATGAGTAACTCAAACTATGGAAGAAGACAATTGATAAGTTTATGCAGTTGCTGGGAGAGGGGCCCCACACCAGCTCCGTTCCTATGCTTTACCTCAGTAGGCTGGGGCAGAATCGCCACTGTCATGGTGCTAGTGTGGATGCGGCTTTGCTTCTCTGTCTTTGGTACTCTCTGTACTCTGTGCACTCCTCCTTCAAACTTCATGTGTCTATAGGCTTCTGGACCGCCAATGCTGGCTGATGCATGTCTAAGGCCACCTTGAAAACAGAATTGAATGGTTTTCATCATTCCTGCCATGCACAAACAACTGACTATCACATGGATTCTCATGAAGTTAACACAGCTACAATATAACTGTCAGTAGAGAGTGCAAGCACATTAAAAACTTTAAAGTTTGATATCTGCCGTTTTAACACATAATCTTTACTTTTTAAAATGTATGTATTTAATTTTAGGTCTGAGTGTTTTAACAGTGTACATGTATGTATGCGTGTGTAACACATGTATACCAGGTGCATATGGAGTCAGAGGACAACACCAGTTCCATTGGAGATGAATTTCTGGGTAGTTGAGAGCCACCGTCTGGGTGCTGGGAACTGATCTCAAGGCCTCTGCAGAAGCCTCTAACTGTTGAGCCACTCTCCAGCCCCTTACTATAGAACTATTTACTTTCACGTAGTAAAGTATGGTACCGATGAACTCACAGGAGCAACAGCGAAAAGACCACCTTTTTGGTTTCTTTTTAAGAAAGGATCTCCTGTAGCCCAGTCTAGTCCTGAACTCAGTGCAATTCTCTTGCTGCAGCCTCTTGGGTGCTAGGATTAAGTGTATCCTAAACTATTTTTCAAAGCTAGAAGTGCTTCTCATGGAATAGCTTACCACCATGCTTTACAGGAGATTTCAAAATTGTGCTTGTATTTAAAATCATTAGGTAAATAATGAGCACATGAGTACTTACTTAGTCCTTACAAATACGTTCTTATCATCATCTTGCCAACCCTTTCCCTGAGACATACTGTAGGTACATGTATGCTTTAAGAAAACGAATCAATGCACTTACTGCCTGTGCTGCTTAGAATAATCCAAGGAGCAACTTCAACTGAGAAATGACTCCACAACACTACTCTGTAGGGAAGTCTGGGAGACAATATCTTGACTGATGACTGATGGGGAAGGACCACTTAACTGAGGTAGAGGGTGATGCTGCTCCTGGACAAACGGTCTTAGGGTGCATAAGAAAGCAGGCTAAGCCAGCCAGAAGGAAGAAGCCATGAGCAGCTTTCCTCCATGGCCTGTATTTCAGTTCCTGCCTCCAGGCTCCAGCCTGCAATTCCTGCCCTGACTTGTCTTCCAGGTACTGCGAACTGAAAGATGAAATAAATCCTTTCTTCCCCAAGTTGCCTCTGGTTATGGAGTTTTTATCACAGCAAGAGAAACCTAACTAAGACACTGACCTACTTCACTTGGGAAATATTCCAGTGTTTCAAAATGCCATCTTTTAAATGCAGCATACTGCTGGTACATGTCAAACATCTCAGAAGTGAAAAGCATGGCTTCCTGACCACCCACACCCGCAGTCACCTCCAGGATCAGGTCACTCCCATCCATTTCTTCTGAAGGAACCAGAAGTGAGATGATCTATAAACAAAAGACGACACTTTCCTGTAATTAAGCACACCTCAAGACCACTGCTCAGAGCTACACATCAGGAAACTTAAATACGGAACCTAATTTTCTCTAAACAAATAATTTAATAGTGCTCTTTGATACAGTTTGACCATCTTGCTAACTAAAAATGTACAATGCATAATTTCCAGTACAGTATTAATGTTACAGTTACATTTTAAGGGTTATAAAATGCATCTGCTTTTGATAGGCTTGTTTGTACTTTTTTTTTTTTCCCGAGACAGGGTTTTTCTGTGCAGCCTTGGCTGTCCTGGAGCTCACTCTGTAGACCAGTCTGGCCTCGAACTCAGAAATCAGCCTGCCTCTGCCTCCCAAGTGCTGGAATTGAAGGCGCACGTGCCACCACCACCCGGCTTGTTTGTACTTCTTGGAATTCTTTCTTTTGTGTTTTCATGTTCCTGTCTCCACCTCCTCAGTGCCAGGAACATGGGTGTACAGCACCACATCAGATCTTATGTGGTGCTAAGGGCTGAACTCTATCAACTCCCTGACCAGGTAGTTAGGAATGAAATGTCTGGGATCAGGACATTACACCACATGTCTTGAAATACAAGGCCCGATACAGAAGGAGAACAGAGGTGCTCGTCTTACGCTTGCTAGGTAAGTTCACTTAGATGGAAGAGGGGGCTATTGCTTTTGGAAGTTGAGGACTGGCCCTCTATCAGTACTAGGATAAGGTCTCCTTCTCACCCCAGGACGTTCACTTTGCTGTCAGTCTACAATCTTTGCTAACCATTGTCTAGCCACAGTGAAAAAAGGGGGGAAAAAGGCAAAAGCAGAGCTTTCTGTATCTTTAAGAGCTGGTATAGGAATTTATCAGCCAGACTTGTAGCCTGAGAAATCTGGATGATGAGAAGCATGTCTTTTTCTGCTTTAAAATCCTCTTTGATGCTGGTAATTCCTTCATGGAGTAAACACAAGAAAAACAGACAAGAGCTTTGAAAAAAAAAAAAAAGTCTAGAGTTGAGGCCTAGAGATGGAGAGGTTAAGAACAAGGGCAAAGTTTGCAGAGGACCTAGGTTCACTTTCCAACAACTTACTCCACCCTTACATCCATCCCAGGGGATGTGACGCCTTCTTCTGGCCTCTAAAAGTACCAGGCATGCTTGTGGTGCAGACACACTTGCAGACAAATACATACAAATAAAAAGAAAAATTAACAGCAACAAACAAATTCTATGTAAGTAGCAACAGGCTCCTTTCCTGGGCTCTCTGCTAAGTCTGTAGTGACACGGAAAGAGGACTGGCTTGGTTTTCCTAAAGGCTTAATTCTTCATGAATATGTAACATACCTGATGCTTCAGCTCAGTTATTTCTTTCTGACACAAAGCTATTTCAGTTGCTGCAAGTTTCTTTAAATCTTCATTCTCATCTAGGAAAAAGAGCAGCAGTTACATTTTGCTTAATTGCTGTTAAGTTGATATTAGATTTTCAGTTTGTGTGTTTATAGTTACTACAGCTGAAGGAAAAAGGAAAATATTTTTCTTGTTCTTTTCATAGTTGCCACTAATTAAAATTATTGATATAATAGTTTTTATAAGTATGTAGCTATAAAAGTTTTTCCTGATGATGAAAGCTAAACAAAAAAACTCCAATATAAATATTAAGACTAAAGTTCTCCATATTTTCAATTCCAGAAAAGCTGTAATAACAGACTTTAAGAGAAATAAAAATTAAGAAATGGCTCAGTAATTAAGAGCACTTGATACTCTCTCAGAGAGCCTAGGTTCAGTTGCCAGCACTCACATGTTGGCTCACAATCATGTAATTCTGGTTCCAGGGGTTCTGACACTCTCTTACTTCTCGGGCATCAGCACCAGGGATGCATGGTGTGCACGTACATACATGCAGGCAAAATACTCATACGCATAAAATTACATTTCAAAAATGTTTATGGGTTTTATTTGATATTTATGGGTATTTGCCTGCATGTATGTGTATGTACTACATGTATGCTGTGCCCCCAGAGGCCTGAATGGGGTGCTGGATCACCTATGACTGGAGTTACAGAAAGTTGTGAGATGCTACCTGGGTGTTGGGCACAAAACCTGGGTCCTCTGCAAGAGTGTTCTTCACAGCTGTGCTGTCTCTCCAGCCCCAGTAAATGGACTAAACGGACTCAGTTTACCAAGTTAGGCTTCACATCACCAAACGGATGCATTTAACTAGTTAGAATGCCAGGCAAGGGCACAGAAGGTCTGAATGGTCAAGCAAAATTAAACCTACAGTTAAGTTAGTCTTAGTGAATGTTTCCTTAGGATAAAGTATCCAACACAAAACATTCACTGGAGTCTGCCCCATGTTTATAGAAATATTCCTTTCATCTCTGGTTTTATGATTATTTCATCTTTGAGTTTTCGCTTTTGACTTAAAGATAAACTTTCTCATTTGTTTCCCTGTTCTATGGACATTTGCAGCCTAGGAAAGAAAGGAATTACACGCTGTTTTTGCTCTGAAACAACAAATGTCCACACGCCTTAAGTGTGTGTGCTTATCAAGGCCTTACGTCAATGGGAGGTGGGACAGTGCACACACAGGACCTCTCTTAGAGCGACACTTTACAGTTCTAGGTTCAATGGCTGCCCCCCTCCAAAGGGTTCAGCTTTCTCCAATTCTTTAGGTAATGGCTGTTGTCAACCTCAGTTCTCCACCCCAACTGCTGGGAAATAAACGCTGACTTGATAGCTAGAATTTATGTTTAGATTTTCAGATTACAATAATCAGACTTTTAATTAAAATTCCCATTGGCAAAACTGCCAAATTTAAAGACGTTTCCTAGTATAAACTAAAAAAGGTGACCTCAGCCTTTCTAAGTCAGGTAGTGGCATGCTCCCGTTTCTTGCAACTGGTTTCTACAGGTTCATTTAGGTAATGCACCCCAATCCCACGGGTCTGCCAGATCTTTCTGGAACTCCTGGTTTTCTTCTTCCCCGGCCCAGATGTGCAGCACTATGCACTCCTGCCTTGTTACTGCCTCCACAGTTCCATCTGTTAGCACCTACTCTGACCTCTCTTGATTACGCAGGCTCAAGAGCTCCTCCACTGCAGCTCTCCTGGGCCAGTTCGGATCTCTGTGCCAGTATCCTTCTAGGTTTACCTTTATTTCCTCAGTATGCACTCAACAGCAAAGCTCTTTTTCCCTCAAGGAAACTCAACTTTTGTATCCCTATCTTAAATTAAAAATAGAACTCAGTCTGATAACAGAAGCTGCCCCCGACCACTATAATTCTACCCTTTTTAAAAATGATATAATCCATCAAATTTTGTTTCTTAAGTGTCTTGCTCTGTGCCAATCTACTACTGCCTCTCCTTTGGAAGGTAAGCAGCTTCCTCCTGACTCAATTCGCCACACTGATGTCAACAGTGGACTTTCCCGAGATGATGTCACTTCTTTACCTAAAATGTGAGGCACTACCCTCAGCCTATAGAAATAACGCTAATCCTTCATCTTTCTGGTTTCATGCTTTCGGTGGTTTGAACAGGAATGACTCCCAGAGACATGTATGTGTGTGTGCGTGCGTGCGTGTGTGTGTGTGTATGCTTGGCCCATAGTGAGTGGCACTTTTGGGAGGTGTGGCCATGTTGGAGGAAATGGGTCACTGTGGAGGTGGTGGGCTTTGAGGTCTCCTATGCTCAAGCTATGCCCAGTGTGGCACACAGTCTCCTTCTCCTGACTTCTGATCAAGATGCAGAACTCAGCCCCATCTTCAGCACCATGTCTGATGCACGCTACCATGCTTCTCCCCTTGAGGATAATGGACTAAACCTCTTAACTGTAAGCCAGGCCCAATTAAATGCTTTCCTTTCTAAGAGTTGCCATGGTCATGGTGTTCACAGCAACAGAAACTCAAACTAACACAATGTTTCTCTTCTGTTGCCATCTCCCATACCTATACTACACTTCCACCACACAGTACTTCTCAAGCGGTACCTTCATCCATGTTGGTCACTTCTGCCTTCTAGTCCCTATACCACGTAACCACCTCTTTCTTGCCTTTAGCGATCCATTTTAATTTTACTTTCTGCTTTCCAGCACTGCCCTTTACATTGATATTTAAAGTCCCTACATTTTATTTGTTCCCATTATCGTGCGTATGAGAGTACGCATGTTTGCATATGTGTGAACACACATAAACGTGAAGCCCCGAGCTTGATCTCCGTAACCAATCTCAATCCCTCTTCCCACTTTCTTCATCGAGGCAGGGTCTCTGAATCAAGCCTAGAGTTCCCATGTGTGTTCTACTGGGCAGACGTCTCTGGAGGCTTCAGGAACACTTCGGACTCCGATGCATCCTCGAGGGAAACGTGCCGAGAATTCGAATTTCCAGGTCTCGGGTTCTAACTATACAGAGCATCACTCACTCCTCTCACACTGTAGCGGGTCAATGTCATAAACTCATCCGGCTTCAGTTCCTCTGCTGGGACTAACAAGTCTTTCCTGAACATCTGAGCTGCCAGGAGGGGAGGGAAGGGGAGGTAACCGAAAACCTTAGCACTTTCTGAGGACTGACTGATCGGCAGAGCACCGTGTCCAAGGAGCTCTAGAGAGCGCTACTGAGGGTTGTCAGAACCCTAGCGACGAGATCCGCAACGCCGAACCCACGGAGCGGATGGCTTACCGTGCAGCAAGGACTCCGTGTCCCGCAGTTCCCGCTCCTTCTCGCTCAGCAGCCGGGCCGCCGCGGCCAGCTGGGGGCTCCCAGCGTCCAGACCGCCGGCCTCCGAGCCCACGCGGCGCTCGAGGAAGGCCCGCAGGAGCCCGCCGCGGGCGAGGAGCTCCTCGGAAGGCGGCGGCGTGCGGCTGATGGCGCGGCGTGCCCACAGGCGCCGGGCACCGCTCAGAAACCCGCTCCGCATCCTGGTCGAAGTTATACAGAGAACACTCTAGGAAAGACTCGGATCCAGGTCTCCAAGGCCGGAATTTAAAAGCTCTACCGGAAATGTTAGGAGGACTTCCGGCAAAGCGTGGGGAACCCGGCTACGTTTCCAAAAGTCAAACGGTGAGAGGGCGGGGCGGTCATGAAGCGTTTGCCCCGCCTCCAACCCGAGCGCACAAGTCTCCGCCCCACCTCGGGGGAGGGGCTCCGGATCCTCAGCTCTTCAGCCCCGCCTCTGGAGGCGGAGCTCCACCGCCTCAGCCCCGCCTCCACGGGGGTGGGGGACCGCCAGCGCCTGGGTTCTGCTCTTCTAGCGGGTGAGTTCACCTGACTAGGCCGGATCTTGAGGTGGGGAGTGCCTCCAACGCCTCAGCCCGGCCAGAACTCCACCTCCTCAGACCAGCCTCTAGGGAAGAGTTCCAACGCCTCAGCTCTGCCTCCTCGGCCCTGTCCCCAAAGGAAGCTCCAAAACCGCGGCTCCACCTCTCTAGCCCTGCCTCTAGGGAGGAGCTTTACTGCCTCAGTCCCGCCTCCTCGGCCTTGTTCCTTGAGGAAGCACTTCCTCGGCCTGGCCTCTAAGGGTGGAGCTCCACCTCCTAGCTCCGCCTACAGGTTGAATTCAGAAGCCTCGGCCCCGCCTCCAAACCGACTCCGAAGCCTCGACTCCGCCCTCAAGCTGAGCTTGCCTGCTCCCCAAGACCAATTCCCCAGCGTGCCAGGCTGGAAGTGACCAGCAGGTCTCTGCAGTCTGAAAGTGAAGGTTTGCTTCTCAAGGCTGTGGGGACTTGGAGAGCCTTGAGGATAGTCAAGCGACCATCAGGCACAGAAGTCATCTGTCTCCAGTCTCTAAGGGTTAATTTTAGGGAGGTCATCAGACATAATTAGGTTCCTTTCAAGCAAATGCATATCTTACTAAACCTCCCAGTGATGCTACAAAATCCATGTTTTCCTGTTGTCACCCACCACTCCATTCACTAGCTTTCTCCGTTTCCTGCCTCACGTTCTGATCCACTCAGTCCAGTTCTCCATTGCCCTCTCACTTTCTTGCTCTCGCTCCTTCCTCCTGCAAATCCAAGTTAAAACTAACAAAGTACAAAACAACTAAGCATTTAAATACTTCCCTTATTCTGCTCTGAAGTTGTAACTCACGGAGAGTACTCGCTTAGCTTGCTTAAGGTTCAGTCTCCAGCCTTGCAATTGAGAGAGAGAGAGAGAGAGAGAGAGAGAGAGAGAGAGAGAGAGAGAGAGAGATATCAAAGGCCTACGTCTAGTGGCCATCCATCCTCTTAACTACTAACTGATGCATTTGCAATTTCAGAAGACTTACCCACTGCCCACCAGAGGAGGAAGTGTATTGAATAAATACAGACAAGCCACTCTTGGGGAGGGAGGAATTGAAGCTTAGTCTACCTGATTACTAGCTGTTTTTTGGACCATGGTGGTTCACTGCTGATCAAACTGTTCTCTTTTTAGAATCAAATGGTAAAGAATCGCTACTCTTACCGCCAACAGAAACCAAGACTATTAATTACAAGATTTCTTTATAGAAAATGAATTTTGCATCATATCTATTCAATCCTTAGCATCACGTACAAGGGCACTGGCATGAAGAAATTAAGTGACTCTGAAGGGTTAATATAGAACGTTTACCCCTAGCAGACTGGCAGATAGAATAGAGCCAAGAGAGTGGGTCAGCTAGTTCTGGAGCTTTGTGTTCCAGGAACTTGGCTGACCACAAGGTGGATGATACGGTTGAATAAGATTGGGTTCTTGAGAGAGAAAGGGCCTGTACTTCCTCATGATTGTTCCTTGAATCCTGTCACACACTGAATAATAGGCTGGGACTTTCTATTGGCACTACCCAGCACTCCCCCTGGTTTGTGTTTTTTTTTTTTCCTTTAAATATCCTACACTCCCCAAGCTAAGGGTCAAGCTCCTGTGCCCCTGCGTGGGTCACAAGCCTCAACCTCAGCGCGCTGATTGAAATATACCTCTTGCTGATTGCATCAAGAATGGTGTCTCGTGAGTCATTGAGTGGCTGTGATCTCCTGAGACTGGAGGGAGGGTCTCGCCTCTCGGGGGCCTTTCAACTCTAAGTAATAGCAAGCAATTCCAGCACCTCAAATGTCCCTTCCCTTTTTACACCCAAAGTGACACTAATGTAAATGTTTAGCTCTAAGATGGAGGTTGAGACCCTTGATTCTGACCTGAGTATAGAAAAGAACTGTCATGTGTTTTCTATCTCTACCAGGAAAAGTTATTTCTAACCCTATACTCCATTTTGAAGTCATTTTTCTGCCATAGAAATGAATGGTTAGGTACTTTGATTTTAGTGTGAGAAATCCCTCCACTGCACTTTTAAGACATCAGTAATTTCAAGAATATATTTTATTTTTTATAAAAAAGGTACTCTAATGTTACATAATGTGAAGGCTCCACCCAGAAGTCATTGTATTCAGATAGCATAACACCAATAAGCAAACAATAACTTGTCTAAGGATACATGGGAGAAGTCTTTATTAATTCAAAACAGGTTAAGAAAATCAGTGTAATATGCATATGCATTTTACAATAATACCCATAAATTGCCACAATATAGTTAAATGAAAACACCTATTATTCGATTTCCTTTGAAAACTCAGATCTACTTAGAAACTTCTGAGTTTTCTTACAGTATTGTCATGCTCAAATCTATTACATGGTAAAAACTGTAGCACTTTCAGGAAGTCTATTATTGTACACAGGTACAATAGGTTCAATGGAATAAAAACCCAGAAAAACTTGAGGTGCAAGAAAAAGAATCTGGAGTATCTATTCAACTATGAGAACCCACAGGTATTTCGGTAATATAAAATAGCCAGGCAGGGCTACTCTTGTATTCATGTACTCAGAACCCTTTTGTGGTCCACTAATAAATATATTGGTGGAATACAAAATATGGAAATAGATCACTAAATAGAATGAACATGGAAGTAAGAAATTGTACATGTTCAAAATGATGTCTTTCACAGAGTTGAATTCGCTAAAATACTTTTTAGTGTTTTTGCAAACTCTTTAAAATCACACACAAGAAACACTATGACAAACAGGTTAAAGCTTGAGGAACAGCATCGACTCTTCTACACTTCAGCATTGTATACACTGCTCAGGGGACAATATATAGGAAGGCATTAAACATGAGTAATAAATAACCTCTTGCTACAATTAATGAGACTAAAATTTTCAAATCCAGCATGTGTGCAGGATCTAAATACATACACAGGGTGTTTCAGGGAAGAGGGAACAGTTGCACTTTTATTAAGAAGATATCCAAGCTAACACTGGTTTGGACTTATTTCACTTCCTGATCCATTGCATTTTATTTATAGTATTTGTTAGTAATCCTTTAATGGAGCCTAGTATTCATGCTAAGAAGTCAGCCAGAGTTGTTTTTTATTGTTGTTGTTTGGTTACTCTTCTGGCTCAGTGTATTTGCAGGGTCTCTTTGCCCCTAAGATATCCTCTTTGCTTGCGTGTCACTTGGTCACAGAGCCTGTATCCAACAGGCAGTGTGACAGGGTGAACAGCAACAACAACAGCAAGGAGGAGCCCAAAGCAAGAGTACTTAACCCTGGTGGCAGGTGCCTTTGAGATATCATGTAATGGGGTTGGCTATTCAGGGCTGGACAGGTGGCTCAACTGATAACAGCACTTGCTGCTCTTACTGAACAGCCTGATTCAGTTCCCAGAACCTGTATGGAGGGGCTTAAGACCATCTGTAGCTCCAATTTCAGTGGACTCTTCTGGACTCAGGTGTTGCATGAGCATGGTCACATACATCATGCAGACAAAACAATCACGTAAAAAAAAAATCTTTATGATAGAACAGAATAACATTATTCCTTCCAGAAACCAAAACCACTAGTCTAAACGTGAGGAATCTTGACACATACCACCCTGCAGAGTGATGCTCTGCACATTAAATGCCATTTCCACTCAAAACTGTCAAGGTTTTGAAAAACACAAGAACACTTATAGTCATAGCTGAAAGGAACAAAAAGAGAGGTAACACCAGGAGGTCATGTGGTTACAGGATGGGAAGGGCAGAGAGAAGACAAGAGGTGACAGGTCAGTATGACAGAGCAGAGTACAGACTCAATGGGTCAATTAGTTATTAAGTAGTAATAATTGCTTCCCAGACATGGAGAACACACAAGGGCATTCTGTATTACTTTTGTAATTTTTCCATAAAGCTGAAAACATTCTAAAATTTGGTGAAACTGGTAATGAACACTTAACCACTCGTATTCATCTTTCTAGTCACAGTTTCATGATAGAATCGACAAAGTCACACTAATATTAAAGGGATTATTTTTTCAGGCATGCTTTATTAAATTGCTTTCAGCTCTGTCACCCACTGGCGTACTTGGAATATTGGTAACTAACGATTCTGTATAATTCTGATGCATGGAGATAATTTTATTTCTTATGTCTCCATCTTTGAGTGTGTATGTGTGTGTGGTGGTGCATGTGTCTATGTTTGTATGTATGTCTGTGTGTGCACGTCTGTGTGTGTGTGTGTGTGTGTGTGTGTTGAGTGTGTTGCATGTGTCTGTGTGTATGTGTGCTTTGTGCATGTGTCTGTGTGAGGGTGTTGCATGTGCCTGTGTGCATGTGTATGTGTCTGTGTCTGTCGCTGTGTGTGTGTGTGGCAAGTGTTTTGCAGACCTGTGCAAATTTAAAACTTTCAAGTATGTTTAAAAGAATAAGCAAAGAAAGTAGAGGACCTAGGAAAAGGCAGTGGGGAACCAATGAGAACGAGACACGGATATGAAAATGTCATGAGGAAACCCTCCTTGTGTGCTAACCTAAACATTTCAAGAAAACATGAGGAGTACACCGAAATGACATCCACTACAGACCTTCCTAAAAATGTGATTATTACTGGGCTGAAGAACTCTGATCAGTTATTATATGCAACATTATTGTTCCCATGGACACCCCATAATCAATAGTCTTCATTTTCAGACAAAGAAACAGATGCAGAAAGGTTATGTGACTTTCCCCTACCATCTCCAGATATAAATATAACTCAAAATCAGCTCCGTCATTTCAAACGGAATTGTGCCCAAACCTTAGACAGTTTGTTTAATCATCGGCTTAAAACACACAAATTTCTAACTGTTTAAAAAGCTGAAATGATGTGATAAAGGTACGAATCAACGGAAAAATTTGCAACAGAAAACACTTGATGTAAGACAGGAGGAGGGAACTGAACTTCCGATTGCATGCACGACATTAAAATATTACATGTGGTTGTCATCATGAGTGTTTTAGATAAACTGCTTTTTCCCAACTTGGAGCTTTGGTCATGAGAATCAAATGAGTCCCCAACCCCATTTGCCAAAGTCAACAGTCCATCTCTAGGTGTTTTAATAGAATGATGATCTGGTATATTCTCTTTAGCTAGTGAGAAAGAAAGCATGTCCATTATGGCTGCATAAGACTATATCTGTAAAGGTAATATTTTTTAACATCCACAGACATCAAAGCCAGTGCTTCTCCATGCACTGTGTTGCAACAATATTATAACGGTATTATAAACTTGCAGATATGTTCTGAAGGAAAGGTTGGTAGGTTTTAGTGGTAAATATTTGCAATTGTGGCAAGTGAACAGTTACTAACATTATTACACGTGGTATGCTCCTTTCTAGGTAGAGCATTTTATGTTGATTGGGAATTTAAGAACAGAAAAGAGTACTCAAACAGATTTTAACATAGATACTTTGGAGATCGGTCATTAACTGACAATCTAAATAGATAGGTAATTCAATCTTTTGACTACATTTCCTATTTCAAATTAATTTTGTCAATATATAATATGAATTCAAAAACTCATGCTCTGTTGGATTCTAGGTGTATCTTCTACCTGTTTAAAAAGAAATTGATGGTTCTTCAAAAAGTTCATTTTTCTATGCTTTATTTTCATTCCTTCCATTTAAAAACCTTCACCAAAGCACCTGAAATTTTTTATTCGTTGCAAGTGTAGTTTCCACAATTACAATGTGATTTTTTTCTGAGACTATTAAAATATTCTAGAAAAAAAAAGAATGAACTTAAATTAAGATTCAAGTATTATTTTAAATTAGCACAATGGGGAGAGATGTACATTTGTTTTCAACAGATAAGCCTTTATCTATTTCTATAGTCCTTTGACATTTAACTATCAAATAAATATAGCACATTCTTTATACTAGGAGACATTGAAGGGCACTAATAACTGTTCTTGGCACAGTGACACACTGTTAGAACTGGTCACACATAAATATTGTAAGAATGTCTTAAAGCCCATATTATGATTTTGAGTTTTATGTTTATAACTTCAGTATCAAAATCCTGTTTTGCTTACATTTATATGTACCTTGTTATGCTGTCAAAGCATCTGTGCTAACTTTCGATGACATCATAATAAGCCAGATAGAGAGGAGTCACCCCCCCCCAGTGTTAGCATGTCTATGTGTAAGATCCACCTATGAAGACATATGCCATTGAGTCACCTCTGTATACATCACCTATACAATCTCCTTTTCTTTCCACAATAGATATGCCTACAGACAGGTACTACGGAAAGTGCATTAACCTCTTGTGTACGCATGAGCAGATTCTAACAATATACAAAGTTATCTCGGCCATCATAAATACAAGGTGCTTCATTTAAAGTGCTAGGATCTCCCCAGGGAGCGATTTACTCTCTAGGAATTAAATCAAACTTGAATAAAGCAAATGTTGTGCTCTTGAAACGGTGGCAGAGACACCAGTTGTGGGCTTTTGTTTATTATAGCTCTGTGTCGTAAACAGAAGAAATCACACCATACTTTAATAACCCATACTAGCATAGTCACAAGTCCACAGACACACTCTTCAAAACTTGAAACATTCTGAAGTGAAATAAGAAACCATCCCCCTGAAATATGAATTTAGCTCAGAGCTGGTCACACAGCACGGCTAATGACAGGGACTGTGCAAATCGGCTCTAGAACCTCCTCAGTGAAACTTCGTACCCAGGTTCTAAAGACACAGCAACTTTGAAATCAAACACTGCAAATGCCTAGGCTAGAGATGAGGACTCTATAAATGTCCTTACCACTTACATTTGGTAAAATATTAAATGTATTGTCAAGCAGACAACTCGCCCAGTAGTCCAGAGCATATTGGAAAGATCACCTGTGACAGTAAGTCACTAGCATCCACAGTAACAGGAATATAATAAAGTCTACATCAAAAACAATTATGCATGCAGGGTGTTGTAGTATATTACATATCTCCTGGTCATGTGCACCAATTCATTGTGCCCCAAACACAGAAATAAGCATGATGGTATACTATAATGTGTACACATCATATTACCATAATAAACACTAATCAAGAAAAGAATCAAATCATTCAGAACAATGGACTTCACAGTAGAAGCGATGATGCTTTTATGTTTTCTTGACTCTTTAGGAAAAAATAGGATTTTTTTGTTTTGTAAACATCTTCATAACTATCTTTTTTCTCAACAGATTACTAAGACTATTCAAAGAGTAAATATCTAGGTGACATGGGCAAAGCGTATCTTAAACACACTAACACTTTCAGGAAAAAAAACTACAGGCATTTGTTAAAAGATGACTATTATAAATATCTTCTATCTTGCTTTTGAACTATGTTTCCATAAATAATGTATTTAAAAGTGCTGACCGTGGTAGGATAGTCAGCGGCGCCAGTGTAAACACAACGTTTTGTTTTTCCACTCTGCAAATTGTTTTTTTTTTTTAAATCCCATTTTCTCAAACACTGCAACAGTTAAAATATTTGCATAGGGAATATATAATAGCCCTTTGAATCCATAGCTCCTGAATTCTATATAAATTAGAAAACCATAGTCACTTAAAAAACAATTCTTGAAATGTTTTAAATTTATGGAAAAAGAAACATGATGCCAACCTTTCAAGTAAAATGAAGTGAAGAAGAAAACTCCAAACTTGCACTTTAAAAAAATATGTTTAATAAATTAAAAAATGAGAGGTAGTTAAAAATGACAAATAAAACCTATAATTTTAATGTCATCCTTAATATAAGGCCAGTATTCTCAATGGATATAAATCTTTTTAAATCTTTCATTTTTTAAAGGTCACTCAACATATATTCATTGAGTTTAAGATTAAAAAAATAGTCTCCAGGGGATTTTGATAGTGAAAGGTAAGACCTTGATACAAATATGACATTGATTGTAATTTTGGTTTTGTGCACTAGACGATACTGTTCTGAAGGTCAGAAATACATGCCATAGTCAGGGGAGTATTTCATGTAAAGAGTTAATGTAATTATAAAAAAATAATATTGGCAGCTAAAAGATTTGAGCACTGTATTGCCTTTTAATTATGGATGAGGGTTAATAGTTTGCTTTTAACAACGTTAAAATAAGTCTTTCTTGTCAGACTATGTGAAGACAGTTAAGGTCTGACATCGAGGGTTCTCTTCTTTATAATCCTTTGTAAAATGTTGCTTAGGAGAAACTGAAGCTTTTCACAGGATTATACATTCAAGGTGAGCACGGCACATGCAATTCTTCAAGACGATTTTGTACAGTGCTACACGTAGGCATTCCTTTACTGTATCTCTTCCTTCATATTCCCAAACTGGATTATCACGCTTATTATTGTTTACCTGCCGACATTCGCTAGTTTACATAACTCTTTTAGAACTGGAGAGCCACTCTTTAATAAATTAATTACAGTATTGGACATTTGAGAT